TGAACCATATCCCATTTCTTCCTTTTCTTTTAGCTTTACTTGTTATATTCTCTGTCACCTTGTCCTCTCTCCCCTTCCCCCACTCCAGTGGGACTGTCGGTTCTTTCCAGTCTGGCAGTTAGACACACCATTGTTCTGCTATTCTCACATTCCTACCACTTAATCAGACATATCAGCATCCTTTCTCTCCCAACACTCTACCACCCCACTCCACCCCCGCCCAACTACAGCATAAATGCTGCCTCCTCCTCTCTTCACTTCAGCTGTGACAAAGAGTCATCTAGACTCGAAACATTACCTTGCTCTCTCTCCATGGATGCCATCTAACCCACTTTGATCTCCAGCCAGCCATTTGTTGTTTCCAGTTCAGATTCCAGCATCTGCAGTAATTTGCTCCTACTTCAGGATGGAATCTATTTGTTCTTGAGAATGTAGGATTGAAGGAACATCTCACAACTATTTCCTGACTAAGATAACAAGATGTAGAGCTGGATGAACACTGCAGGCCAAGCAGCATCAGAGGAGCAGGAAAGCTGACGTTTCGGGCCAAGACCCTTCTTCAGAAATGGGGGAGGGGAAGAGGGTTCTGAAATAAATAGGGAGAGAGGGGGAGGCGGATAGAAGATGGATAGAGGAGAAGATAGGTGGAGAGGAGACAGACAGGTCAAAGAGGCGGGGATGGAGCCAGTAAAGGTGAGCATAGGTGGGGAGTTAGGGAGGGGATAGGTCAGTCCAGGGAGGATGGACAGATCAAGGGGGCGGGATGAGTCTATGGGTAGGAGATGGGGGTGGGGCTTGAGGTGGGAGGAAGGACAGGTTAGGGAGGCAGGGACAAGCTGGGCTGGTTTTGGGATGCGGTGGGGGGAGGGGAGATTTTGAAACTTGTGAAGTCCACATTGATACCATTGGGCCGCAGGGTTCCCAAGCGGAATATGAGGTGCTGTTCCTGTAACCTTCGGGTGGCATCATTGTGGCACTGCAGGAGGCCCAGGATGGACATGTCGTCTGAGGAATGGGAGGGGGAGTTGAATCGTTCATGACTGGGAGGTGCAGTTGTTTAGTGCGAACTGAGCGTAGGTGTTCCGCAAAGCAGTCCCCGAGCCTCCGCTTGGTTTCCCCGATGTAGAGGAGGCCACAACGGGTACAGCGGATGCAGTATACCACATTAGCAGATGTGCAGGTGAACATCGGCTTGATGTGGGAAGTCTTCTTGGGGCCTGGGATGGGGGTGAGGGGGGAGGTGTAGGGGCAGGTGTAGCACTTCCTGTGGTTGCAGGGAAAAGTGCCAGGTGAGGTGGGGCTGGAGGGGAGTGTGGAGCAGACAAGGGAGTCACGGAGAGAGTGGTCCCTCCGGAAAGCAGATAAGGGTAGGGAGGGAAAAATGTCTTTGGTGGTGGGGTCAGATTGCAGATGGCGGAAGTGTCGGAGGATGATGCTTTGGATCCGGAGGTTGGTGGGGTGGTACGTGAGGACAAAGGGATTCTGTTTTGGTTGTTATTGCGGGGAGGGGGTGTGAGGGATGAGTTGTGGGAAATGCAGGAGACGCGGTCGAGGGCGTTCTCGACCACTGAGGGCGGGGAAGTTGTGGTCCTTGAAAAATGAAGACATCTGAGATGTTCAGGAGTGGAATGCCTCATCCTGGGAGCAGATGCAGCGGAGGCGAAGGAATTGGTAATATGGGATGGCATTTTTGCAGGAAGGTGGGTGGGAGGAGGTGTATTCTAGGCAGCTGTGGGAGTCGGTAGGCTTGAAATGGATATCGGTTTCCAGGTGGTTACCAGAGATGGAAACAGAGAGGTCCAGGAAGGAGAGAGAGATATCTCAGATGGTCCAGGTGAACTTCCTTGTTATCTCAGATTCTCCAGCATCTGCAGTTCGTACTATCTCTGAAACTATTTCCTGACTAAGCTGGATCTGCACAACTTCCGAGATAACTGTGTGGTGTGATCAGTGATCTGGGCATACATGCCAGCTTATCAGAGTAATGGACTCTGGAGGACTGTGGAACATGGTCATTTTGATTCGTTTACCTTAACGATAATCCATTGGCCAAATTTTCTTCAGAAAGCTAATCTCGGAAAAGAAATCTGCTTTTGGTCTCTTCTTTTCTGAAGAGAGATAGAGAGTGCATATTGTTTGCGTGTGCATTTTGGGGATATTTAGAGGGATAATCATTTATTCTTCCATCTTACTTCATCTGTGTGTTAACCAATTATTGCATCTTTGTCGACATAAATCAGTGATTGCATTTATTCAGTGTTTGTTCAGAAACCCTGTTGATAGATGGTGTAGTTTGAAACTTGATAGTAATAAGGTATTTAGTTGGTCATCTCAGTCACTATAAAAACTTCTTTTATTTTATGTGAATCAGAGATAGTAGGAACTGCAGATGCTGGAGAATCCGAGACAACAAGGTGCAGGCCTGGATGAACACAGCAGGCCAAGCAGCA